ATAAGCATCTTCCATGTCTGATACATACTTTACAGCTTTGTATTTAGAAAAAGATATTTAGAGAACAAAGAACAGCAAGTGATGCAATAGCTGTTTTTTGAGCATTAGCAGGAATAACATAAATAATAACATTTCCACCACTCATCTAGTGCTGTGGCAAAACTAAAGGAAATTCAAAGTCAACTAAAATTGCCAGAGCATAACATAATTCAAGATGTTTCTACAAGATGGAATTTGACTTACTATATGCTTGAGAGGTTCATTGAGCAGAAAAAAGCTATTACATTGTATTACATTACCAGAAATCAAACTACTGCAAAAAATCCTACGGAAAATCAATGGCAACTTGCTGAAATCCTTGTATGCATATTAAAACACTTCGAAAGTACTCAAAAGACATAAGTAAAGAAACTGCATGTATATCAAAGGTTATACCATTTATCTATGCAATAGAAAAGTTTCAAGACTACGCTTGTAACACGGCAACTGAAATCAAAACTGTTGTTGATGAACTTAAGAATTATTTTAATTGTCGTTTTCAAAAAAAAAACCTCGTTTCAAGTTAAAGCTTGTTGAAGACAAGAATCATAATATGTTTAAAGAAAATACTCCATCTAGAGTTCTACCGTTTTTGTTCCAAATCTCATTTAGAGCAAGTAAAAGAAATTGAATTTGGTGTAGCAAGAGGTAGTGGATCAGACTCAGAAGAATCATTAAGTTTATTTTCAGAATCTAAAATTCATGAGTCCGACTCAGATTTTGATGGCTCTTCATTAAAAAAAAAAAAACTAATGAGCATGGGCATATATAGCTTGTTCCACCAAATCGGTGCAAATGAGTATGCTTTACAAAATTCAGAAAATTCTGACGGACGGAGAAAAAAGAAAAAAAAACACTTGTTCAATGGGAAAAACTCTAACTGTCAAATGAAAATGGTATGAAAACAGAATCTATTTATGATTTTTATACTGTTTATACATTAAATATTTAAATTAAATTGGTAATTATATTCTTTTCTATATTTCATGTTCCTTTTGTATTTCCTATAGCCATTTTAAATTTTTGATTGCATATGACCAATATTAATTATCATTTATCAATGAGATTTGTTTTATCTCCATTCTTAATTACTCTCAATCTCCATTTTATATATTTCAAAGGACGGATAGGAGCATTCTTTTATTTTGTTTAGTTGATTAAAGGGTAATATTTTAAAAATTAAAACCTAAAATTATCACCTATTTTTTATATATCAGCACCGATGAAGTCAACTTCATCTTGAGCCTTCCAATACTGCGAAAGAATGAATGCCCTTATAAGTGGTAGGGTGCATACCGTTACACTTGCTCTGATAAAGATACTTACAAGTTGAATTTATCAAAGTTTTCAAAGAAAGTTTTGTGTGCGCCTTGTTTATCTGTAAAAAGTGAACGCTTATTTAGCACATCTGGAAACATATTTGAAGCAAAAAGAAACAGACTATTACTCGAACATGGAGAACAGATTGCATTTTTAAATTATAATATGCCTGCTTTCATTGAATAAATTATTATTAACTAAATAATAGACTGTAGTTTCTTAGTTCAAGTGATTCAAGTTTTTAACAAAATTTAAAACAAATACCAAATTTTATGATCAAAATAAAATAATGACTACTTTTATATTTTTACATTTTACGTGTTTACATTTTTATGAATTCTTTCAAAGAATTGACCATAGATTACCTTGAGTATCAGTAAATGTCTAAGATTTAGTGATGTAATCTTTTCCATACCTGCTAGATATATAGAGTTAAGACTCTAAATTTCACTCTCTAAATTTTTGCACAAAATTTTGTTTAAATTTTTTATAATATTGGTTTTGTTTTATAATTTTCCTAAAATGGGCTTGTAGGCCAAAACATACAAACCTAAAACATTGATATATAATTTTAAAAGCAGCTTGATTATTCAAATCACCGTGGTGAAGTAAATTGAGCTTTAAAATACGTATAATTTTTTAACCATAACAAATTAGCAAAAACAATTCAGTTTTTGCTAATTTGTTATGGTTGACCTTCTGATTCTATTTTAAAAATTTAAAGATATAAAAAATAAAAGTCTTTGCAAAAGTCTTTTTGCTTGTAAAATTACGTATCTTTTCTTTCAAATTATTTTCTATTCAAATTTTGATTGGATAAATTTGATTTTTAATTGTTGCGTTTTAGAAAAATATTTTATCTGAAGTCTTTTCCTAAAAAAACGTTTTAAATAAGTTTAAACGACATATTGCTTCAAAAAAAAAAGTTTTATCTGAAGTCTCTTTCTAAGCAAAACGTTTTAAGTAATCAGAAAGACAGATTGCTTCAAAATATCTTAATTTCCTTTTTTTTTTATTTATCTTTAATCGTTATCCAAGCTATGAAGAATAGCTTGAAAGGCTATTCAAGATTTCTTTTTTTTTTTTCACTTTTCTTTAATGAAGTCAAGAATAAATCTTCTTTTAAAGTTCCAATCAGTAGAAGTTCAGTTAAATTCTAAAGGTTTAACAACTCTAGAGATAAACAGGCTAAAGGAGTACCGCTACCTAAAAGGCTTTATAAAAAACAAACTGGGTGATCAAATTTTGAAATTTTCTGCTTTACTCTAAAACGCAGTGAATAGCAAGTTAAAAAAAATTCTAGAAGAAGTTAATAAGTATACCTCAAAGAGGTTGAATGATTGTATCATTCTTGCTAGAGTATTTTGGCAAAAGTTAGCCTCAGGACTTCAAAAAAGAGAAAAGTATTATGTGTTTGGTTGATAATGGAATATGACTAGTATTAACTTTCTAATTAAATTGGAAAGCTTTGGAAAAAACCCATTTAATTTCAACTGTAGATGTATACTTAATTATTTAAACCATATAAAAAATGAAGATTCGCGTAGTTAAAAAATATTTTGGAAAATTATTGTCCAATTATTTGTCCAAAAAGTTGAAACTATGGAATATAGTTGAAACCAGCTACAAATATAAACGAATAACGATGGAAGAGCAGTAAACTTTACCTCTGGTGTGCAAGATGAGTTTTATTTTAACATATCTTTATCTACTTCAATAATCTAGACATTATTGAAGTAGATAAAGATATGTTAAAATGAAAAAGAAGTTTGAAAAATGAGGGTCTTTATTTTAGGGATACGATGTAGGTCATTGTCGCGGAGGCCTATTCTGTTTAAATACATAATTGTTGATATAAAAATACAAACCTCCATCTTATGTCTACCAAAGAACACGCTCATAAACTAGGTGTTCTACATGGAAAGCTCACGCAGCAATCTCTATCGCATATGATGACTTTAATAGATATTTTCCATTTTCAATAGTAAATATTAAACTGTATGAATTATTTTCATATATAATGCTTAATTTTTTTTGTTACTTAAAAATCATAAGGTATATTATTCTACTTTTCTTATATTTAATGATAATAATAATTTCATTTATTTTTAACAATGTCTTTTTTTGTAAATATATTCACTTTTATTAAAATCGAAGTAGAAGGCTAAATAATTAAAATGAAAAAAAAAAAAATTATTATGATTTTCAGAATCAGCATGAAAAACTGATTAGAAAAATTTGTTAAACTATAAAAAATCTAAAAAAAGATGATTATGGACCCCACCTAATATTAGACATTGAAAATGTTTTTGATACCCTCAATATAACACAAGTTAATTTCTAATAATCAAGTTGCTGCATGTTTTGTTTACTCAATAGATAAGTTAAAAACAATATGAGGTTTTAGTAATTTCGGTGACAGTTTGTTGTTTGTAAGGAGACTTTTATTACAGTGTATTAATGATAATAAATATAATACTTTTTTTTTTCCTCTTTATTTTCCTCTTTATTTTCTTTGAAATGAATAAATATGTTTATTATACTTAAAAGTTTGTTTAGATTTTAATATTTCTTTTTATATTTTGAATTTTGGTACTTTATTGTAAATGCCTGTCACTCTGCTAACAATTTCTTTGCAGTTTTATGTTTTGTTTTCTAGTGTATGACTTTCAAGTATAGGGAAAAGGCGCCTATGATTGCATACTTAACTTTAAAGCTACATTATTCAGCATCCTAAAGACCAAGGACAAAGTTTTGATATGGATGCATTCTTTGTTACATGTAGAACAATAATAACCTTAGGAGTTTTTATTAGTTTTATTTTTAAATTAGTTATTTTTATTTTTAAAAAAGCACAAGTATGCCATCATAGGCAACCTACTGCTCCTATGATGGCATAGGGGAGAATGGGGATGGTTAGCATCAAGGGTAACTTGAGAATATAATTTGACCCAAGAGTCTTATCTCAGAAATGCCAGAGGTTACGCGCAATCATCCTAGTTAACTCTCTCGTGCTATACAGCAGCAGCGAAAAATTTTGCGCATGCGCATAAATGATACTGCATTTTATTTGTTTTTTGAATCAAAAATTTTATGTGAAGTAAAAATTATTTTTTACTAGACTAAAAAATATGTCGTTTTATGAAAAAAAGTTTTCTCAACTTGTCAATATTGCAACACACCTAACTCAGTATGCTATCATAGGAAGAAGTCATCATTTTCATTTAAACAAGCTATGTCTGCCTTGTTCAAAAGATAAAATTAAAATAAGTATTCCACTAAATGCACAAAAATTGGAAATAAAATGCATTAAAATTTTATTTCTGCACAGTTAGTAATAAAATCACAAACTTAAATACTTAATGGGATTAAAAATATAACAGCACATCTCAAAATCGATTTTTGTTGATTAAAAAAGCAATATTTTTGCATAAGGGACGTATTTTTAATAAAACTAATATAAAGTCAGTATGGACAAGTTGGTCGAATCACTTTTTCACCATAACTAATTTTTATTAAAATATGACCGGTATGCCATCATAGGCGCCTTTCCCCTAGGTAAAATATCAGAAAATCTATCTTATTAAGTGTTTTGCTTATGTTGTATTTTTTTATATACAAATAATATTTTTACTGTTCAGTTCCCGGAGAACCAGAAGATGTTTCAGTTCTAAAAACAGATGTGACAAGTGTTATGTTTCGTTGGAAAGAACCCAGAGTTAAAAATGGTTATGTGCAATACAGAATTTATTACAAGTTGAAAGAAGATTCAGAAGAAAGCAAGCCATTGTTTTTTGGTGTAACAAATGAAACTTTTGTTAATGTCACTGGACTTAAAGAGTATAGTAGTTATATATTTTTTGTTCAAGCTTTTACTGGTGGTGGGAACAACACAAATTTGAGCAATATAACAGCTATGACTTCTTTCGGTCATTCTCGAGGAGGTCCAGTTAATTTGACAGTTAGATCTGTTTCGTCTACTTCTCTAAATGTGTCCTGGATTCATCCAGAAGATTCTTCATTGAGGCTCCGTTATATAATTTACGTTAACAACAAATATGAAACAACGTTCGCCAGTAGGACATCATTTCTTGTAGAAAACTTAAATATATTTACACTTTATAACATTTCTGTGTGTGCAATTTATCCAGAAAATAAATCAAGTTGCTCCAATACAACAGGGCACACATTACAAGACAGTAAGAACACGTTTTTCTTAAATCTAATTATTCGTTTTCAGTTTACATTTTGATTCTATATGATGTCTTTTAATATTTATATATCTACTTTATTTTGATTAACATATAGAAAAGTTGTTTTATTTTTAAGATATTGTGTTTTTTTAATCAATTAAATGTTACAGTTGTTATGTTATTAAGTTTTCTTACGTTGTTCAATGTTTTTAAGACATCTGCTTTTTTTTTTAAGGAGGTACGATAATTTTCCTTTTTTCGACTAGATTATTTATATACTTGTCGAGAATGAAACTTTTCTAATATCAGAGCTATTCTGGAAGAGTTTCTTTTGTATCGATGTTGGACTCGTACACTGAGTTTGGGTTTGTCGGTAGCCTTTTTTTTTTAATGAAACACTAACTACAATATTTCATTGAAAGAGCAAAATAATAACACTTTAAAATAAAAAAAGAAGAATTTCAGATTTAAGCAATTGGATAATAGTTATACCAAATGTTATCTTGACTTTTAATATTTAGATTAAATGTATTTAGATAGATTAATGAAACTACTTATAATCATTTTTAACGATAGACACGAAAGGTTAGCCAAGTGATCTATCAACACAAAACATTAAAACAAAGTACATCACAACAATTACGCAGAGCAAATCGCATAACATGTTTTATTTTTACATTGCATTATACTAAATATTAACACAAATTTGTTTTTTATATTATTATGCAATGCTAGACAACAGTATCTGTTATATACAACAGAAACACATCTGCACTGCTATCTACATGCTGTCAGGTAATGATGGGGAAAAAAAAGATGGTGAAAAAAAAAGAAAGGAAAAAAAAACCGGAATGTAATTAATGCTGTTGGAGTCCCCCATTGAGTAAGGGCCCCGAGCAATTTGCTCGGGTGACTCACCCTCTGCACGGCCCTATAAACATGAGTTACAATTTTTACTAGTACACCTTGAAAATATCATTTAGAAATTATTTAATTTGAGTTTAAATACTTTAGTAACTTTCAGTAACTTTATCAAGTCTATCATTTGCCGTCGTCCTGGATATAAATTATAAATAAATAATATAAATAAAGTAATCTCGCGTTATTTGGGGTTGCAGGTAAAGGTAAAAAAAAGATCTGGTCTTCATAAGTTTGCGGCAAAGCACAACACAAAACTACAACGCGCCGTGGTCTAACAATATGATCGCTTCCAAGGTTGTTTACATGTTCATGTACGGCGTCAAATTGCTTGCTTCTCTGTTTGTTTTGGTTATTTCTGATGAAAGTAAGACGCTGCCCTTCAACTTTGACACATGCATCAACAGCATATTGCTAAAATAGTTTCTAGCCATAAAATGCTGAACAGAAGTTTTGTCTTACTAAAAGTTTATTATTATAAAACTGATATAGTGTAACATAATTTCTAACCAGGGTTGCATGTTTAGGGTAGTGCGCCAATTGATTGTGCCAACCAGCATCACATCTTGGAAAAAAAGTGGATAAACCATAGGAGCTAATTTGGTTGACATATTCAATATAATCTTTAAAGGATGACCTCTTGGACAGTTTTTCCTGGAAACAGGTGGAGCACCATCTTCACCAACGAATACAACTGTAACTTCATTATGTGAAGGCAGATTATGATGATGTTTATTTTGCCCTTAAAGTAAAGACATTTTTACAACTAAGACTGAGCGACTTTCTATAGCGGCTTGATGAATAATCTTTAAAGGATGACCTCTTGGACAGTTTTTCCTGGAAACAGGTGGAGCACCATCTTCACCAACGAATACAACTGTAACTTCATTATGTGAAGGCAGATTATAATGATGTTTATTTTGCCCTTAAAGTAAAGACATTTTTACAACTAAGACTGAGCGACTTTCTATAGCAACTTGATGAATCGTTCAGCCATGTTTTTAAATGAAATAGTAAATAGGTTCACTTCACTAACTATAGTTTGCAAATGAAACATTAAATCACAAAGATCATTGCTACATTGTTGCATTTTAAAATTTATTGCTGCATACGGTTCATAAATATACAGTTGACAATATGTTGAGGAAATATCTTGATCTGGTCTAAGATTGCCTAAGTAATGAAACCTTGACCACATATTCTGAAACATGGTGGCGCATGATTCCAAGGTTGAACCACATTAGCTGCATAGAAAGTAAAAGAAAAACACGCATTAAAATTTCTAATATATTTTAAAAAATTTGTATTGGAATTATGATCTATAACTCCCTGTATATAAATCTTGTAAAGCTTATGGAAGTGGTGAAAATGGAGGCAAAACTATCTTTCCATTATGGCAACATAAAAATGTGTTTTATGAGGAAAATATTTAGCACCACTAATGCTGAAAAATATGGTACAATTCTCCTTGAAAATTATAATCTGGAATATTATTACTAATTTGCTATTCAATGCATCTTCCTTGTCTAGCTTCATTTCATACACTTTGATTCGATGACAGTTATTATTATCTTGCCTGAATGCATTATCCTTATTAAGGTTCAAATTAACTTCTACTTGTTGAACAGTATTTTTTACATATTATAGGTGATTATTTTTACCTCGATAGTTATTATTAACTCGCCTAACCATATTATACTCATTGGGGTTTAAATTAATTTCTGCTCGCCAAACAGCATTTCTTACATTTTGAAATCTTTCATTTCGATAATTATTTTCAAGTTGTCTATTAGTATTTTCACTAATAACTTCTTTAAGCCCAATATCATTCATTTCAATTTTACTATTATCACGAAGCATATTACCAGTAGTATTAAAACTGTTTGTAACAAATAAACGTAAAAAATATTCACTTTAGAGTAATAGTAAGAAATTTTTATAAAATTTCTTACTATTACTCTAAAGTGAAAAAAAGACAAAAATGAGTAAATTTAATAAACCATTGTTATTTAAAAAATAAATAAAAAAATAAAATAAAACTAAATTAAATCATGACCCAGCTAGCACACTTACGTTGTTAAAACATTAGATCAATGTCGAGCGTTTCGGTGGCCCAACATCGGCTGCCAACGTTGATTTTATATCATTATGGTTACAAATGCGACGTCGCCAACAACTAAAAACCAATGTTGATAAAACGTTTATTTAAAGTCGAAAAATGGTTATATTTTCTACGTTGATTCAACGTTTTATTTATACGTTAGCCCAATGTTATATTTTAAGTTGCCACAAGGTTGTATTTACGTTGATTCAACGTTGAACTTTAATGGGCAAAACGTTGCATTCAGTACTATTCAGAATAAAATTTTCATTAAACTTTATTTGTTTGATTTATATACATTACATCAATGTTGAAATTAATACATTGAATCAACGTTGGATTTAAATCGTAAAAACAATCTACTTTTTGCGATGTTTTTACATACATTGGAAAAGCGTTGATTTATATACATTGAATCAACGTCAAAATATATACATTGAATTAACATTGGGTTTAAATCGTAAAAACAAGAAACTTTTTGTGATGTTTTTACATACATTGGACCAATGTAAATTTGGATCAACGTTGGTTTTGCATTGGAAAAAAGAGCCGACGTTTGCGATGGTTTTACATACGTTGGCCCAATGTAAGTGTGCTAGCTGTGCCGCTTGTGGTAGCTGTGCCGCTTAACTGAAGGATTACTAATAAATTTGTTGAAAAAAAAGTTTACAATATATATTTATTTTATTTCTTATTTGTACATTAAATTCTTGTAAATTTTGTATAAAGTTTAAAAAAAAAACTTATTTTTTTAATATTTTTAAAAATTGAATTCATTAAACTCAGCACTATGTTGAATAAATACACAGTCAGAGAAAAAAGATTTACTTTAAACACTATTTAAATATAAATATTTATATTTTTTATATTTACTTTTAAATATAAATATTTATATAATATATAAACATAAAAGCACATGTTTGGCCTAGTTCTACTTTTTGGCAAAGCAAAAAAAATGCATTCTAGTTTTTAGAACACTTTTTCAACGTCGAATTACGCATATGCTCACATCCCTACATTAAAAGAGAAAAAAAATAGACACACACATACAAAAACTGCATGTCTATATATATACAGGCCCGCACAGAGATTTTTTGGTGCCCAGGGTCAATTTTTGTTCCCAAACTTTAGATTCCTGGGCATATTAAATTAAGCATGAATTTCACTGTTTATCGTCCATATATCTAGTATCACATTACAATTTAATGAAAACAATAATTCTTTTTGTATTAACAATTGCTGCACATTAACACTCTATATTTGAACTTGGTTATATATGATAAAACGAAAATACAAATACAATTTAAAATAAATGGAATTATATATTTCATCATTAAATGTTAATTATGAAGACTAGTCAGATCACACTAATTTCACTTTGCGTGCTTTTTCTTTGCGAAAGAGAGGTGATATTTTCGTACAATAAAGTCTTGGCAAGAGCGTTTTCAATTGAAATTAACATAAGAATATTAAGGTGTTCTTCAGTCATTGTTGGTCGCAATTTGGATTTAATGAGAACAAGCATACTGAAAGAGCGCTTTGCTTCAGCCACTGAAACCAGGATTGTATTAAAAATTCGAAGCAAAATGCAGATCGAAGAAAATATTGACTAAAGATCTTTCTGGTAGATTTTGTTTAGCAACTTGATAGAAGAAAGAGATTCTATTTGTCCAAAAGTATTTGATCGCTTCAGAACATCTAGATGACGGATTTCTTCAATCAACTCCTCTTTTACATTATTTACGTAGGGATTACGTAGATTTGCCATGACTTTGCATTTTTCTTTCTGACTAAGTTTTTATTCATCACTAGAAGGAAATGGAGAACACCATATGAACGAAAACATATCCGTTGTCTTTTGAGCTCTATCCATTCTGTATCTTATCTGCTGGAGCGGTGTGTCAAGAGCAATATTAAATACGTTCACTTCAAAGCCTCGTCTTCAAAGAATTTGGCTGTATTCATTGACTCGCCGTGAAGTGTTTTCCTTTTTCTTGTCCTCATCTTAACAAAGTCATTTTGAAACCCAAACAAAGCTAACCCAGAGGCCAACCAGTTTTGCCTCTTAAAGGATTTGAGGCTAAGAAGATCGTGGCCGGTCAAGATCAAAGATTAGAGGTTTTTTTTAAAACTCTTTGTCTCGTTATCCAAAAAAACGCTTTCTGATTGAAGGAGGCAGACGTCGTTTACACATAGGAAAGCCTTGAACCAGAAAGAAGTCAAAACAATCAGTTTAAATGATTGAATCCACTTTTTGAGTGCCTTAACTAAAGTCAGTTAATGATCTTCTTAATCAAGTTCTTCAAAAAGTTTCAAGAACTTCAGCATTTCTTTTGTTTCTTTCGACAATAGCCGGACAGCCTCTATGCGCGCAATCCATATTTTTTGGGATTTTTGGTGAAGGGACTGCCCAGTTACCTCAGTCAAAATTTTCCAGCGCATGGGGCTACTACTAAAAAGTTTATACAACGATTGGATGTTGCTAAAATAGTTCTTGACTACAGTAGAAGATTCTGTAGAATGAACGCCAGCTAGATTGAGACAATGCGCACTGAAAGGCATGAAACAAAACTTGAGGACTTTTCTTGAGAATGATGGCCTGCACTCCTTTGTATACGCCGGAGATATTAGCCCCGTTATCATAGCTCTGGCTCCAACAGTTCTTTAAATCAATTCGGCTTTGATCCAAAACGTCTATAATCAGCTTCACAATGTGACCTCTTCGATAATAGCAGCAAAAACAGTTTCACCACATGCCATAATGAACTCATTTTGAGTTTTCTAATTTAAATAGCGCGCTTGCATTCTTGTTCCTTGTTTTTGATGTCGAGAAACTTCTAGATAAAGCTAAAGTGTTTTATTAAGTTTCCCCAACAACTCAAGGGTGGCTAAAAAATTACCATTATCATACTCGTCCAGCATGTTCGATGAACCTACTCAAATATGAACATAATACTGAAATAAAGATTACATCTACTCAACATAGTTAAGAAAAGATCCGAAGAAAAATATAGCGTTTAGGCCCTTTCGTTTTCAAAAAACTACGGTTTATTTTGTATGCGTTTTGATCGGTTTATTTTTTTAAAAAATCACGAAGCTCGTTGTTTTATTTTGTTTACAAATATTCGGTGATTAAAATTTGAGTTTGAAATTTTAGCTTAATTATATGGGGCAGAAGTTATATAAATACTGAATCGTTTCTGTTTAGTAATTTATTCAAACGACTATAAAGAGATTATGCAAGTAAATTGCTATGAAGGAAAACTAATGTGAAAATTTTGATTTTAACGTTTTTACTGTTTATGGAAAGATAAAAAAAGAGGTTTTTAGTCATTCATTGAATATTTTAATGCTGTCTTTTTACTTTTGAACAAAAGAGAATGTAAATACTTAACACATTTGTTTCAGCTGTTTTTATGACGCTGCCCCATCGCGTTTCATGTATTTTAGTGTTAGTTTTGTTTTGCTTGATGTTTTGGTTAAAAGATTTGTAAAAAAATAAAAAATTATATAAGAAAAGCTTAAATTCTACTTTTTAAAAATATATAACAGTAATAGTCAAAAATAAGCGGAAGACATAAACAATTAAAGTTTAAAAATGTAAATTTTTGTTTTTAAGAAATGCAAATCGTTCGGATCTCTACTTAACTACGCTAAGTAGATTAATATTCCAAGCAACATTAAAATTATTTTATAAACATAAACTGCTAACACACCTCGAAAACTAAATGGAGATTTCTCGAAGCTAAATGGAGAGTGACGTCCAGGACGCAGCGTAAAATTTCATACCACTTAGATGCCACATATCTTATTGACTATGCAAGTTCTGAATCGATCCCAGTCTGATTTTTCAAGGGTTCAAAGGCTGATTTCCAGACGATGGTGGCTTTTAATCTTTTCTCCTAGCCTTCGCAAATTATATTTTATTCCTCCATTCCGCATCAAGAGAAAAGAATGAAATCCAGGACCAAAATTATGCTTTTGCCAAAATATAGAGCAGGAAAACAAACGAAAGTTTTTGCAGTTCCACTCTAGATAAGTCAGTCTCTGATAATCTTCTCTCCGTTGTGAGGATTTTCGTAAAAAACGTAGGCAGGAACATTTTTGTTTGTAGAATCTCTAGGAAAAAGGGCCGGATTTTGAGGTGGTCCATTTATTATGACTAGATCGCGTTCGACTTTAGATAAAACCCTCTTCCTCAAAGCGGGGTCGTTTCTAACTGCTTGATCACCCAGTTGGATCGCCTCTTGGTCCTAAATATAAAGAAGCAGTTGAGAATTGTGGTATTTTTTAATATCTGCAGATATTAAATGATATGTTTTTAATATCTGCAGGTTTTTCATAAAATAAGAATGCGTCCCAAGCTCACCCGATGATCATCTTCTTCATCAAAGACCGTTGAAAAATTTGAAGGAGAAGATAGCTTTCATGAATTCAAAGGTTCATAAACGCTTTTGGTAGGATAGTCCTTCTAAAAAAGAATTGTTTTTACAGTTTTTTATGAATTTATGAATATAAGATTGTAAATAAAAAAACAACCTGTTAACCTATATCTAGACTTCTTGGTCGGACGTAGAGTTATTAGATGACTTATTTTTTTGAACTTTATCGAAACCACACTCTTCTAGTGTTCTTGTATTATTTTACAACTTGTTCTTGTATTATTTTACAACTTTTTCTACAGCTTTTTTTTGCCTTTGGACCCTAAATCATCCTTTCGAAAACTGGACGTGACGTTTTAACTCTAAGATGCGTGTTTTTTATTTTTGATTAAATAACTTTTTTATTTGTTTCGAAACAAAAAAAATTTTATTTAGAATTTAATTCTCAAAGGAATTAAAGAGAAAAAAAAAATTGAATGCAATTTCACAATATCAAATTAATTGGAATGAATGTATTGAGAAAAAATATTTGAAAAGTGTTGGAATGAGAGTAACTAGAGGAACTGATTTATGTAACCTAACATTGATGTTTTAAAACAAGCTTTTTGTTTGGATAACTGTTACGTTATTCGAATTTTAACTAGATTTAAATTCGAGCCATTGCAATCAGTCCTTCCACGCAGAAAAAATAGAAATTGCGAAATTTTCATTTAACTTAACCTAAGTTTCAATTTTGTTTCATGTTATAAAGTTCTAAAAAATCTTACAAAATATTTTAAAGCAAAAAAAAAATGTAATATTTGTTTTAAATTTTTTACTTAAAATTATGCAAATAATCTTCCTTTTTTTTTTTCCGTTTGATAATTTGCCGGTATGAAAGTTTGCCGTTTGATAAATTTACAATAAATACATACTACATATGTAAGTTTAGGCTGGAGTTAGAAGAATATATAAACTGTCTTATCACCGAGCTTCGTTTACATATTGCCTGCGTTACACAGTGTCAATATAAAAGTTGTTTGAGCGCTTTTATTGCTATCTTAATAATATAATAAAAGATCTTAATACAGTTGAATCCCGTTATTTCCCAAATTTCAATTCCCCTAGAACATTCTCTATCAATTTACTGAAAAGTTGTACCCTGGTTAAGTCAGATCATTCGCTAACTCGTACTGTTTTTTGAGGTCTCTTCAGCAAAAAACTTCGCTTAACTAGGATTTTTATTTTGAATTGCATATAAGTGAATGTAAAAACAAAATTTCGAATACTTCAACAAAAATTCGAAACTTTAAACGTTCGAAACTAAAATACTTTAAAATAGTTAAACATAGCTAAACATTTTCACGAGATCTTTCGATTCAGTTTAGCTTCGATTAAATTCTTTTAATAACTATTACATTAAAAATTTAAAAATATCAATTAAAATTCAAAACTTAGAATGTTCGAAAATTAATTACTTTTGCGTCAAACAAAACTTAACGAGCTAAACAATTTCACTGCTCGTCTATACTTCGATCAAGTTTTATTTACAAAAAATGTGTAACGTTGCTAAAAGAAAGCTATCAAGTAAAACTTTAACAGAAAAGTACAAAATACTAAAAGAACTCTAAAAAGGAGAATCATATGTATCTATATCAAAGAAATATGACATTCCTAAGCAAACATTGTCTGGATGGTCAAAAGAAAAAAAATAAAATATATTCAGAAGTCGAAAAAAATAAAACTTCTGCGAAAAGAGTGCGGATGGGTGTCTGCCTAAATGAGAATTTGCATAAAGCATGTTATATGTGGCTTTTAAATACCCGACACCAAAATATTCCTGTCTGGAACCATTTTCAAAGTCAAAGCTTCGCAATTTGCAAAAGTACTTGGTTGTGACAACTTTCAAGCATCCGATGGATGGTTAGATAGATGGAAAAAAGAAACAATGTATTAAAACAATATCAGGTATTTTATCATTTTATTTTTTCATTGATATTTACATTTTTTTCAGTAATTTGTCTAAAAAAAAATAATAATAGTAGAACTCTCATTTCTATTCCATCGCCCGTAAACCAATAAATTATCAAACGTTTTAAATTAATAAGCCAAAACGTGGTAAATTATTACCACGTTTTGGCTTATTACCACGCACTGCATGGAAACAATAAATGGATAAAGTGCAAAAAAACTGCGTAACGTCCTAAACCATAGCTAATAAAATTTATACTAATTTTAAAGTTGCTTTTCTTATATTTCATAGGTGGAAGTAAAGATGTTACTAATAAATTTACCGCTCCTTGGTTTTTTGCCGACAATATTCTCTCGTTATAACTCGCATGATACATTCAATGCAGATGAGTTCGGTTTGTTTTATAAAACACTTCCAAAAAAAATTATGCATTTGAAAGGTGAGAAATGTAGTGGAGGTAAGAATTGCAAGATAGGACTAACTGGGCTCGCTGCAGCTAACATGTGTGCAGAAAAACTTCCAATGTTTGTTATTGGGAAATCAAACAAACCCCGTTGTTTTAAAGGAATTAGAAGCACTCAATGTTGTAACCATGCGCAAAAACAGAGCTTGATGACCTCTGAACTATTCGAGGAGTGGGTTAGAGAAAACGACAGAAAGTTTGAATTAGAAGTCCGTAAGGTATTAAGGCCGTATTTATTAAGGCCGTAGCATTGGTTATTGATAATTGCACCGCCCATTCGAATATTGATAATCTTAAATTGGTCACACTCTACTTTTTTGCCCCAAACACAACTTCATGTTTGCAGCCGATGGATCAAGAAGTCATTCGATCGTTGAAGTGTAAGTACCGAATTTATTTAATTAACAAGATCATAAATGCAATTGATAACGGAAAACAAATGCCTTCAATCTCCATACTTGAATGAAAATGCTTGTTCATTCTTGGAATGAAGTTTCAGAAATTTCAGTTGATCAGTGAAGGCAGCGTGATAAGGATCTTGTTTCGGAAGATTTTACTTACGAAGATATGTTAACAATTGATGATGACGTTTCGGTTATGGGAGGAGTGATGACAGATGAAGATATTATTAAAGATATCGTTGAGGTAAATGAAGAAGAAATGCAAGAAGAAGAAGAAAACGAAATGTCGGATGAAACGATGACAAAGCCAACGACTAAAGAACTTCGTAAAGAAATTGTTACCCTTGTTAATTTTTCGATGTTTACTTAGAGTGGTGAAATTAGAAGAGAAGCTTTGAATGCTTTAAAGCTGTTTGAAAAAGAATTGTGCGACTCACTGAAACAAACATCAATTTCGGCCTTTTTTTGTTTATAGTATATATTATATATTCAAAAATATATATTTCACATAAGATTACATTGCTCTACATATATGTACACAATATATATCGACAGTGCTGGCCTTAGCCTTCTTGCCGCCCTCGTGCGAAATTTTTTCTGTCGCCCCTGACAATTTATAAACTTGCTGGTAAATTACACGGTAAATAATAACAAATCGAATTCAAAAATAATACTTTGCAATGAAATGCTACATACAAAGAAGTGTTTTTTTCTTATGTTTTATGCAAAATACATTTAATTTTTTAAATTAATCTTTTGGGCTTTTTTATCACCAAAATCTTTGATTAGCGTAGAAAAATCAAGATTTTCAGTATTATCGTTTTCAATCAATAAGGTTTCTAAACTTAAAAGTCTATCCTGCGAAATTGTTGACCGCAAGAAAAATTTCTTTCTCCACTTGCTGCAGTGACAGGTATTGTTAGCAAAATTCGCATTGCAATCCATGTGTTTGGATACAAATCTTGCATTTTATGCTGTTTTATAAAGTTTAAAACAATAATAAGAGTAATTTTATCCTTGACCATTTCAGAAAAAAAAGGTTTAAGGCTCATCAATTCATCGCAAAGGAGAATACCATTAAAGTCCGATTTTAGATTTACGGTAAGTTTACTTTGAAGGGTTAAACATGATTTTAGAATTTCTTCTCTTTTTTCAAACTATATAATTTTCCAACTGTATAAATTTTTTTCTCATTGAAATTAGTGATGTGTCTAAAAGAGGATTGAAGAAATAATTTCTATTTTTTTCAGGAGAAAATGAATAAATTACTATTCTTTTAAGTGGTTTAAAAAACAGGCTCCACTTGTAATTCTATGGCCAAATCTTTTGCTTTTATGATTGCATCTTTAAAACCACATTTTCTGTAGTTTTCTAAAAATAAGCAACAGCTTTTCACTAATTTTGCACATTGAGTGTTGTCCATGTCTTTCTCTTGAAGAGTTTTACTAACAATATTGATTTGAAAAAGAAAGTCATACCATGATAATTAAAGAGACAAGAAAGCTAAAATCTTTCAATTGCTCTGCTAGGGTTATTGCTTTATGTGAAGTTTCAGGATCACATCCTTCAATTTCGGACAATGCTATCAAAACGTCATGTATGTCACCAACCTTATAAGGAACGGCTTTGACACTACTTATTTTTGTTTCCCACTGCGTGTCATAGAGTTTCTTTAAATGCAAAATTTTAACGTGATCAATTAAAATTTTCCATCAGATCATTGAAGCTGAGAGTACAGTGAACAATCTCTGGAGAATACCGAATAAAGTTATAGATTTTACTGAAGACCGTGCAGAGTCACTAATTACCAAATTTAAACTATGACTGCCGCAGGAAAGATATAATGCTAAAGAATTAAAATTTAAAATCCTTTTTTGTACCTACTTCATTAATGTTTTCTTTCATATTTGATCCATTATCATACCGTTGACCTATACAGTTAGAGATTTCAAGCCCATGTTTAGTTAGCAATTCGATTAAAACTTTAGTAAGTCCTAAGACTAAAAAGTACTCTTTAATTTCAACTCTAAAATCTAATGACAAGTCAACAATTCGAATTATAAGAGAATGTCGAAAAACAAGTCAACAAATTGAATTATAAGAGAAAGTTATACTTTTCTAGAAATATCAGCTGTACAATCAGCAATGATTGAATAATAAACGGCTTTCAAGACTCGGTTTATTATTTCACCATTAACCTTTTGAGACATTAAATCTGTTAACTCATTTTAAATATTTTTCCGCAGTAATGATCTAATCTGCCACCTTTTATTGCAAGTGCTAAATGTTTTTGCATCACAGAATCAAATTTTGCAAGCATCTGTATTAGTTCAAAGAATTTGCCTTATTGAGGTGTAAACAGTTTATTTAAAACTCCCTCGAAAAGCTATATTATCTTCAGCTAGGTAAAAAGTGACAATCATCAAGCGAAGAAGGACATTTTGCCATCGCAAACTGTCTTTTTCTATAACTTTAAGTTCTTCATTATCTAAAGTTTTTCCAGTTTTAAATCTTATTTCAGTTTCCATCCACTGTTGATAACATTTGGAGACATGGTTCATATGGAAGACGCTATTTTCATCAAGTCCCAATGTTTCAGTTAAATGTCTCCATTTATTGAACCCATCAGAGACTAAGTTTGAATTTGAATTATTTTCAAAAAGTAGACAGCAAAAACAAAATACTGAGAGAATCTAAATAAACCAACCATCCACGCCAAAAGATTTCTCCATTTGCAAGTTTTCTATTGTAATAAATGCTAGAAAAATGTCGGCCATTTCCATCTTCAGGGTATTTTTCCTTTGTAATTTGAAAAGAACCAAGTTTAATTAAATGATCCACAATGTTGCTAAATCGAACACTTGGCCACTTTCCATAATCCGATAAATTAGATGCTTCTTGTACAAAATCTTCCGATAAATCATTTGATTCTTTTAAAATAACTGGTTCATTATCTACTTTGATATCCAATGAAGTTATACAATTTTTTTTGAGTATTGTTGAAAGTTATCCAAATTTATTGGACATGGTCTTAGAGATAGTTGAAGTATCAGAGTTGAAATCTTTACGACTTTCGTCAGGTTTTTTATAAGCAACAAATTTTTTAATGCTCATGAATTTTTTAATTTTTTCGATTTTTTGATCTTTTGGACTTTCTTTTTTCTGTAATCTTATAACTTTTTTCTCGAATTTGAAATATTATGTGACATGAGATTATTTTTTATTCGTAAGATAAAATTATTTCTATAATTGAAAAAAAAAATCGAACTAAGTTCTCAAGAAACATTGATAAAATTCTTAAAAAAGATAAACAAAACAAGACTTACTGATTTTTAAAATTGAGTCAACTTGACATTTAATAACAAAAAAATATGAACTTTTGAACTTCTTTGTAAAAAAAGTTGTGCAACTTTTTGAAATGACTCCTAGGGGAAATAATTTACAAATGATACTATAAAATACAATATAAACCCTGCGTTAATATTTTTTAAGTAAATTTTGTAATTTTTTTGAAAAGATCAGGCGTTAAATCTTTTATTTTTAATTTGCTATTAGAAAATTAAAACTTGTAACTAATAAAATTTTCCGCCCCTATTTATTTGCCGCCCTCGTGCGGAAAACGACCTCGAACCCCCCCCCCCCCCCGAAAAGCCGGCACTGTATATCGAGGAACATTCGATAAGTCTCAAAATCTCAATAAGTCGGACATTTTCAAAAAGTCCGACTTAACGAGAGCTTTGCTTAATGCGGACATTTGCTAAATATATATATATATATATATATATATATATATATATATATATATATATATATATATATATATATATATATATATATATATATATATATATATATATATAGCTGCGAAAAAAATAATAGCACCACAGCTTTAATGTGTACTTTAAAATAAAGAAATCAAATAAGATCAATTGTTTTAAACATTTTACAATAAATATTAGTTATTTCTTAACATATTAGTATTTTGTAGCGTGACCTTTATTGGCAATGACGGCTACACAACGTCTTGGCATCGAGTTAACCAAGTCCTGACATCGCTTTAGCGGAATTTCGCTTCATGTCTCCTTAACTACGTTCCAAAGAGACTCCTTCGTGGTGGGTTTGGCAGTAGCAAACACCTCCTATACGTCAGCCCACAAATTTTCAATTGGGTTAAGATCTAACGACTGTGCTAACCACTCCATAACGTTCACATTATGCTCCTCAGACCAACTCTTCGCCTTCTTGCTAGTGTGCTTTGGGTCATTGTTCTGTTAGAATACCGGCAGGACAACGGCATTTCATAGTCTGCATACGGCAACATCACTTTCTCCAATATATCTACATAAACGTGTTGGTCCATAATAGTAGTAATGTGATGAATGGGCCCTTCTCCGTAATAAGAAAAGCATGCCCATATCATTATACTACAACCTCCATGTTTAATAGTTTTGATGGTATATTTTGGATTGCATTCTGCATTCGGCGGTCTTCTGACATACGCCCGAGAGCCTTTTCCACCATAAAGCACAATCTTACTTTTGTCTGTCCATAAAAGATTCTTTTTTTGAGTGGTCAATTTGAATGTTTTTTAGCAAACGCAATACGCTTTACAACATGTCTGGCACTTAGAAGTGGAACTTCTCTGGGGCTACAGGCTTTTATTTTAACTCGCAGACAACTCCGAACTGTTTATACTGTTGCATCGATGTTAAAGCCTTTTTCAGCTCGGTAGCTGTTTTAAAAGGTTCCTTTTTAGCCTGTAAGACTAAGCGATTGGCCAGCAATGTTGAAATAGAACGTTTTCGACCGCGTGTTTTAGGCTTTTCTTAAAATTTTATGGAATTTCTTATCATTTTAATGGAAATTATCATTTTAATTATCTCTATAATTTTACCCTGCTGACATCAACTTTCAGATCAGTTCTCGTTTTTCTGCATTACAATGCTTTCCGTATCCCATTTTTATATGTAAATGTCTCCTACTAATACGCACTAACATAAAACGAATAAATCAGCACAAAAAAAACCCAACGCTTGCTATTTTCACAATCATTTTTACCGTTTTCAGAGTATTTTACAACAAAAGAGTGTGGGGTGCTATTTTATTTATTGGTCAGAATTGGCATTTTTTATTAAAATCAAGCAACACCAAGAAGTTTTTTCCCCTAAATGATTTGTTTTAGAAAATAAACATGTTAGCTAATATTTTAAACAGCAAAGCTATGAAAAAATTTTATTTTGCATGGTGTTTTCTTAACAAAAAGGAAAATACGCTTAGTGGTGCTATTTTATTTTTCGCAACTGTATATATATATATATATATATATATATATATATATATATATATATATATATATATATATATATATATATATATATATATATATATATATATATATATATATATATATATATATACATATATATATATATATATATATATATATATATATATATATATATATATATATATACATATACATATATGTTACGTATAGCAATTATGTTGATTC